TTAAAAAATTTGTTCTATATATTTAAAAAGTATATAAAACGAAATACATCAAAATTTAATTGACAGATCTGTTTATCTTTAACAATAAATTGTTTGTATTATTTTTTGTCACTTAGTTAAATAATAGGTGAACGAAGTCCACAGCTAACTGGTGTTATTACCAACAGCTCCTATAAACGCTATAGTTTTTATATTTATTTAAGTCTGTTGTGGTATTGTTACTGTTTTAAAAACACAGAAAACAGATCTGATTTCAGTTTGACTCCCTGTAGTAAAGGGTGAACGACACTTAGTAATCGGAAAAGTTGAGGCTTCGGGTTCCAGAAATGATCCGACAAATGCTCAGAAATTACTTGTCTTTCCAAAATACCAAGTGCCAATAGCCACTCGTGACAGGGACAAAAGCACCGACCTTTTTCGGATTAGAGCAATAATAACAGTGGCTTCGGAACGTAGACTCAGCTGTTTTTGACTCGACTTGGCTTGCAGTTTTATGATCATTTAAGGATTTGGTTTATTTTTTCTTTTGCTGCTTGAAAGAGTAAGCACTTTGATATTCTGTCAGACTTTTTAAAATTATTAAATATTAAAAAATTATTAATTAAATATAAAGTTTTATTTTTAGCTTATTTTTAGACTTCTTCATTGTTATTTGCATTTTGAAATATTTATATTTTTTAGCAGGCTAAATTACTCTCTCTAAAATCACTCTCAACATCTTTACCAATAATATCTTATTTTACATATGTATTAATATATAACATATTAACTATTCTATTAAATTATACTAAAGAAATAAGGAAATTAAATATAGCTTTATAAAAACACTAACCTGGCTGTATAGCATTTCCTATTATGGCACGAGCATTTTTAAGTTTACGTTCTCTTTCGGCTGCTACATGATCTGTTGGGATATCATTGACACCGATCTTTTCCGTTTTGGCACATATTTGATCAACCTCTTTTGTAGATTCGTTTTGCGCTTGACGCAATAATGCAATCGAATTTTCCATTGAACGACGTGCATCATCCAATAACAATGATGACACAGAATTTTTAGAGTCACTTGTTTCTACTGTAGATGACATTTCATTCTCTGTTTTATCAGCTGTACTTTCTAATTCTTGAGCAGCTGCTGCGGCTGCAGCTACTTGTTCTAAAGCACGCCTTTCTCCAGCTGTAGGACCTTCTGTTTGTTGTGGAGGATTCAATGCCTTTCTTTCGAATTCCTTTTTATAACTACCAACACTGACACCGGGTATAACAAGTTTTTTGGGCTTATCACCAGCATTGCCAGCATTCATTTGTTGAAACTTTTCTGCTGTTTCCAAAATACGTGATTTCCGTCGTTCGTTGAATTTATTTAATGGTGATTCATCCTGTAAACTACATTTACGTACAAATGGTGGGACAGTGGTGGGTACAGTTGGTTTAGTAATTTTTGCGGGCTGTTCATTACTTGTCTTATCAGCGGACATTTGACCTATCGCATTAACCAAATCAGCTGTTTTGTGCTTATTGACGAATTTTTTAATAACTTTTGTAGCATCTTTTTCTTCTGGTGCTTCTTTAACAGCATCTAATTTTCCTACAGTTCTTTGACGTGATACTACCGGTGAGGGATTTGGAACAAAATCAGTAGCAGGTACTGTTGTGCTATGAGGTTCATCATTTTGTATTAACTGTTCCACCATATTACCTACTGCTTCCATATCTTTTTGAGAAAATGTTTTTGAAGGTGTCGTTTTCACAGTCGGTGGTAAGGTCTCTTCAGTATTCTCAATTTGTTGTTCATCAGTTTCCATCGGTGTTTCCGAGTTAAGAGTTCCAGCTGCCGCGGCAGCAATTGATGATACACTACCAGGTTTTTCTTTTTTCTTTAATGCAGCCGATGCATTCTCCATAGAGATTGTGGTTTCAAGTTTACGTTTTGTTTGTACAGGACTTTGAGCAGGTGTTATTGTGCGTGTAGGAGATGGCATGAGTGCAGCTTCGCCGCCAGCTAGATGTATCAAACGGCAAAGAGAAAAATAAAAAGAAAGGGAATGTAGTTATGAATATTTGTTATATGAAAAGGTTAACAATTTTAGTTTATTTGTATTTGTCTGTTCAACGGTCAAAAGCATATGTACATGTGCAGGAAGTTAGAGGAATTCAGATATGTCGATTTGGGAGATCGAGAGAGAAAAGAGTTTAACCGTTTTGTTATAAATTAATTAAAAGTTTAATAATGTTTAATATATCTATTTAATTTGTATTTTGTAAATTTTAATATATTTTATGTCTTAAAAATCTTCTATATGAAATTGTGATCGTTCGAACTTTACTTTCATTTCTTTTTTTTTTTCATTATATATAAATATGGTATATATAATTTAAAACTAAGGTAGTTTAACTTTAACTCAGCATTTCTTAATTTTACCGAAAGTATTAAAAATGTAATTTAATATATTTAGATAAATTCGAGACTTGAAGTTTTAGTCTTAGAATCACTTCTTTATTATATCTAATTGCACAGTTATACCCAAGTTCACACTTCCGTTGTATTATCATCGTTTGCAAAATGGTTGTTGTTGTTGTAACCCGCCGGGACCTGCTTGTGGAGTCACTTTGGGCGGTGTTCAATGGTACTTGGTCGTCGTAAGTAAAGAGTGACTCCGGGACATAGACCCGACCGTTCTTTGTTATAAAAATTGTATAAATATTTTTATAATTTTAAATATTAAATATTAATATGTCTGTAACTTCATTTATTAATTTTAAATTCTACTACAATATTTTTTTAAAAAGTTTTTCAACCGATTTGTAATTTAATTTTACTTCTAATTCTGGACTTTATCTTTAAATGTTTTTTATGGTTATAATATAGTTTATGTTTTTGATAGTTCTGCTTTTTATAAAATGTCAAGCCAAGTTCTATTTACAAAAATATAAATAAAAATTATAACTTACCAGCAACCATGTCTAATATTCTTCGTTCAGCTTCCGTATTAGCGCCCATATCACGTATTGAACCCACAGAATGACTTCTGGGAACACGTTCATTACCTTTGCCCGCTGAATTACCATCGGCGGATGGCACAACCAATTGTTCAGCTGTAACAGCAGCTGGTGTTAAAGAAAGTAAAACATCTAAACGAACTGGAGTTTGATTCGCCAAGTCCTCAGCTAAATCTAAACATGATACATTATCACTTTGATTTACCCACCAATGTGAACATATTTGTTCAATAGTTGCACGTTTGCGTGGGCAAACAGTTAACATATCACGTATAAGCGTAGAGGCACTTGATGGCTTTTTCGGTTCATAATAATCGCCTTGGCTAATTTGTTTAACCAGTCTTTTAAAATTAGAGCCATCAAATGGCATTGAACCATAGACTAGAGTGTAAAGGAGCACACCAAGTGACCAGCAGTCAACTTCTGGCCCCTGATAAGGAGTACCTTCAACAATTTCAGGTGAAGCATATAATGGAGAACCACAAAATGTTGCTAAAAGTCGCTGATCATCAAAAACATTTGAAAGACCAAAATCTGCAATCTACGTAAAACAAAAAAAAAAAACCAAAAATTAAAAACAAAAGAATAAAAAACATAAATACAAATTTTAAATTAATGGTTATTAGAGTTAATTACTTTAGCATTGCCATGCTCATCTAAGAGAATGTTTTCAAGTTTTAAATCACGATGACAGATTTTGTGTTTGTGACAGTAATAAACAGCGGTAGCAACCTGACGAAATATACGCCGCGCTTCATCCTCACTTAGCACCTTTCTTTCGGATAGATAATCATAAAGTTCACCGCCAGCGGCAAATTCCATGACTAAAACCATTTTTTCACGATTTTCAAATACTTTAATAAATAAAATAAATAAGTTTTAAGTAAAAGGCAAATATTCACATAAATTACCTTCATATATGTGAATAATATTTGGATGCTGCACTGAGCTCATAATTTGCACCTCCCGTCGTATGCGAACTAAATCTGCTTCTGCTTCAATTTTACATTTTTTTATTGTCTTAATAGCAACCTCTTGACCAGTTTCTTTATTAATACCTAATTGCACCTTACCGTATGTACCCTGCCCCAATTTCTTTATAATATCAAATCTATAAGATTAAATATAATTTTCATAACAACACTTCTTAATGGGAATTGAAATTTATTTACCTCTGTCTAAGTTTTTTTCTGTGATTGTTCATTTTAACATCGCCCGTATTCGCAATGCCGCTCATTATATTATCTATTTGATCCTGTGGTATACCTGATGGATGTGCCGCCAAATGAGCAGCAGCGGCATCCACATTACCAACGTCAGCTTCTGGATTTCCGATTGCCATTTCTCAAATTGTATATGTAAATTTTACTAGAATTGAGAACAAGAAGAAGAATATGCAAATTAATAGAATACTTAATTTACTAAGAAGATAACATAGTAAAGGGTTTAATAAGTATTTTTGCAACAAACTTAATTACGAGTACCAACAAATTATTTACAAATCAACAATCAATACGGCTTCAGACGTAATAAGGAGAATCATTATTGTCTTGTCTTACAAGTTTAGTTTTCTTGCAATGCAGCGTAGCACAGTTTACAATCAAACCTCAAAAGTATCTCTTTAAGTATCTACTTTTGCAACTACTTTTCTGCAATAAGAAGACAACAGTGCGAGCAACACAGTTTGCTCCACTTTTTACATTTTAATTATTTTCAGAGTCAGAGTCATCGTTTTTGCTGTTCTTTTTCTTATTCTTTTATTCTTTATTCTTTTTTTTTATTTTTTTTTTTGTTGAAGTACTGTTGACAATTAAATTGCAATTAGAAATTAAATAAAAAGTGCAGGAAGTCAGATTAAGTTGCGGAGCACGCTACTTTCTTAAGACGAACCCAACCAATTCTTCCTGCGAATTTCGTGTCAGGTTTGAATCAATTAAAACTTTTTGCACTTATCCAAAGGTCTTCAGAGTCTAATAGGGTACTAATTATCTACTGAATGAGAATAAATTAGATTGTTGTAATTAAAATCAGGGTTTTTTTTTTTAAATTTACTTTGAAATGCAAGATTTAATAAATAAGTTTTTGAATTTAGTTAATATTTTTAGATTTTCTACATAAATAGGAATTATACAGTGAAAACTCTATTAAACTCACGCTCTCAACAATTGGTATTTCTCTTAAAAGTACAATGTTGCTAGTTCCCTATTATCACATTTCATATCAAATACATTCTTCTAAATTAATAGTTCTTACAAGCAGACAAAATTGTTGTTCTCGTTCGAGTCTTCACTTTATATATAAGTTTAAAAATTGTTAAGTAAAAACAGTTAGTCTAGGCGGGTTACTGGGGTATTCTTTTTAATCCTTAACATATATTACATAGCATATATTTTTCAACGAATAATTTCCTTAACTGTTCAACGCTGCTAGTCTCTAGTATTAATTTTTGATTTAAAGTAGATTTTTTTTAGTTAGATAGTTAGATATTAAACGGTTAAAATTGCTGATTTTGCAAATATACATTTAATAGAACTTTTACTGTAGATAAAAGTATAAAAATCAGTAAGATATGGTTGGTAATATCAGTTTATGAGATCTATTAATACTTTTAAATGGTATTGATGCTACATTTTCGATTCCAATTAGATAATTGATTGTTTTTGTAGGTAGTACAGTTAGATCTTGTCTGGGCTGCGTAGATAACTTTGTTCCGAAAGCTTCTCGAAATTATTTAACTTTACTTAAAATGGCTGTTTTCTTTTTCAAAAATCAAGCGTACAATAAGTTATAAATTATATGCGAAAACTGACAGGCTATCCTACTTAGCACAATCTAATCTTAGAGTAATCACTCTCCGCACGGGGAGGTACGCAGATCTTAGATCAATCACTGAATAATTATGAAGCTTATAGGGAATACATAAATTAGTCAATGAGATGGGTGGGATCCTGTAGTACCCCAGCTATCAAAGAGTAAAAGTGCCCAGTTGCTGACTCGAAAAAAGCATCAACATATATACATACATACAATAAGCAGAAAATTATTTACGATTATTGTATATGAAGTATGAAGTACTTATAAAGTTTTTTTCTACTAGCAAAAGCTAGCATTTATTACACATATATATTATATCCTGAATTGCGTAGCTATGGTTGTGGCAGAGAAAGTAATATACTACCAAAAAAAAAACGTTTGGCAATGTATTATGTATAGATTATATTGGAAGTAGGCCTATACCCAACCCCTATCCTACTCTGCATACGCCAAAGGACAAAACTGAGAGCAACGTTTAAATCAAAATACTAAGATATCAAGATTATAAAATATTAAATTAATTTCAATATTAAAAAAAAACAACAATTATAATATAAGAATTAAAAAACAATGACATTCCATTTGCAATATTTACAGAGAGACAAGTGTTTCTATCTGACAAAATTATACAGGCATATAAAAATTACTATATCGTAAAAAAAAAGCTTAATTTAAATAACTGAAATCGGACCTATATTTGTCCAACACGATTTCCGTTATCCACTCTTACGTTTTATGTGCTTCGTTCAACAAGGACTACCTAGTTTTATGTCTGCTTTTAAGTAGATTGCGTACAATAACAGAATCGCATGTCCTCACTTATGGAGCCAAAAACTTTTACCTAAAAGTTTTCTCTCAAAGTAGAATATAAAATAAAATTATAGATATATAAATAAATATATATAAATAAATATATATAAATATATATATATCAATAAAAGAAAAATAATTTTTTTTTAAATAAACAAATTTATCATAGGAAAAATTAATACATTTATATATACATACCATATGTATAATACGTTCAATAATAATTTCATAACACATGGTAACTCTATTTCTATCATTATGTACTGCATACTTTACTAATTCGTATGTGATATAAATGTGCTGCAAATTACAAAACTGTGAAGAATCTGGATTATATCTAAGAAAAGTAATGCCAATTTATGGTAAATTGTAGAACTAGAAAATTATGGAATACTTGTATGTTGTACAAGTTGTTGGAATCTGTGTAATGCAGATATGGTAAAAAATAGTAGCTTAACAAAGACAGAAAGAGAAGAAAAAGAACATAATAATCATAAATAATTCAAGTGAAAAATTCTTCAGAAATTCCAGACAGAATCTGCTAAATGCTATTAACCTATTAGATATGCAACTAGTGTCGTTAGATGGCATTGATTAAGTAGTAAGTACAGCAATTAAAAATTAAGTTGTTAAATGAGTTAGAAGAATGACTTCATTAAACTCGCGGTAAACTTGTATATATAAAAGAATTGATTTTTTATTGAACTGTATAATTCAAAGAAGAGTATATAGAGATGTGAATTAATTACAAGTAGTAAAAATTTATTTTATTTATATAATAAAGAGAAAAATATATTAAAATATATAATTATTAATATATTATTATTAACAGTGATTTTTACCTATTTACCACATATATGCTTTAGCAGTAAAGTTCCTTTACCATGCTATATTCGTTGATCCTTACATTTATATTATAAATACAACTCTTGCAAAAATGAATTTATTTGTAAATTTCGATCTTGACAATAGCTCTTCTTGTTTAGGGAGTAATTTCAATGATGTCTTACTTTCCATAGAATTCATTTCTTAACAAGTCTGGGTTAATAGTTGCTGAGTATAGAGAAGATTACTTAGAACGACTGTTTTTATATAACTTATTTCAGTTTATAGGCACGTTCTGTATATTATGTTTTCATTAATAAATCTGTTGATTTTAGACACATGCAGTTATATATCTTAAAGCTCAACTGATTTGTGATTTTTTCCCAATAAGGTTGCAATTTTTTTAAATTTAGATCATTGACAGATTTATATTTGCCCCACCTCACCTACTTTCATAATCTATATTAATAACATCTATAATCCCCTAATTATAGATAGATTTTTATTTATAAGCTTTTAAGTTAGATAACGATAATAAAAGGTATTATTTTTGTGGTAGTATAAAAATACAGTTGAAGCAAATATGAAATATATGTAATAAAATAAAATATATGTAATATTATAAATATAAAACAGTTCGATTTTATATTGCGGCTATTTTTGTAATAAATATAATTTGATCGGCTATAAAGATTACAAACACTAATGTATAATGAAAAGTATATTGGGTTGAAACCCGAAAAAAATTATATATGCTGTTATAAATATTAGAAAGGACATATTAGAGAAAGGATATTAGAAAGGATAATGTTTTAGATCTAATGTGTAATTTCTGGAGAGTATTTTCTAAGCAAGTAATAGGTCTGTTTCACAAGCTACTCGTAGTAACTATGAGTTCCACCAGCAAATTTTCGAGTAAATGAGCGTATCTAGGAGCGTAACATTCCTGTCTAAATTTGAAGAGGCTACACACGGACTGTACTGGTACATTTTATGTTAAGTAAAATTTGTGTTGATATGTGAATCAGCTGTTTTGGTTTAAATTTAAATTTTTGAATTGTTTATTAGCGCGGCACTGGTGTTCCTACCAGATTTTACACAAAGCTGTTCCATGAAAATCTGTGTAAAGAACGTAATTTGGAGCTTTATTTGTGTCACAGTCTCAGTTTGTACTTTACTTGTGTTTTACTCAAGTTGTACTAAGAGTAGCTGGTGAAACAGACCAGCTAGCTCAGAGATATTATCTGATTCAAAAGCGCAGGCTCTCATTAGGCAAAATTAAAGCTGATTGGAGGTATTTGACTTATTTTCTGGCAATTCTAGGATACGAACAGATATAATGAGCAAAAGTTTGTGTACGCATTTCACAAGATATGCAGTTCTCAGTGTCCCAACTTTGAAAGGTGTTAGTTAACAGGATCATGTTTAGATAAGAAAACTGTGATTAAATATTTAAATGTAAGCATGTATGGTATATAAATTAAAATTTGAATGTTTTTAGTGATATACTCAGTTTTGTAAATACAAAATATTGGACTTAATGGTTGGTTGGAGTGGCGGCCTTGTATCCCAAAAAGCCCACTTAAGCACAAATAATGGCCCATTGTGGATTTAATGGACTTATAAATGATATAGTATCAGTAATTAATTTATCGTAATTTTATAATTAAGATATTTTTGTATTATGTGTTTAAAAGCTATATACTTTCCATTTGAAGAATAAGTATTTTTATAAGTACATATGTTATATTTAAATATATCTATTGATATTGTACTAATTTTATTATTTAGGATTAAAATTTATACAACTTTAAAAAGAAAAACAAACTGTTAAAAGTATACTTTATTATCATGTAAAACATTAATTTCAGTCTTCCAAGGCGCCGTATTGAAGAACATATATATATGTATATGTATTTTCTATATTATTTCCAATATATTTGTATGTTATATTTAAAATTTGTTGCTCACTAAAATGAAAATAAAAATATACTTTTATTCTATAGTAAATGGAAAAGATGACATTTTAAAACATACAAACACAGTGTTATATAAACAGACAAGACTACAAAGAGTTCTACAGAGAAGCAATAGTAAACACTAAACAGAAAATAATTACATTTCATTAGCAGTTGAAGATTGTTGGAAGATACTTAAGTGTGCTATCTAAAAGTAGCAAATGACTCTGATACATTTAAGAACAGAGAAGAACAAAATTTCAGAGTAAAATGAAAAGAAGTAATTGAATTCCTGTTGGTATTTCGTTCCAAAAAAAAGTATATAAATAAATGAACGAAATAAAAACATTAAAAAGTAAATAAAAAATTAAATTAAATTTTTTAAGTGCACTGAACTCGAGAGATGGTGCTGCGCTGAAATCGTTTGGTAAGAATCTGTTAACGTTGATCTTGGTTAGCTTTCGTGTCTAAAGACGAGAATATATTGTTTTATTTTACTGCATGATTTATGTACATGTATCATTTAGGTACAAGTACATACGAGTATCTGAAATGTATAGTTTCAACCGCAGCTGATTTGCAGTCGTGTGAGTCGAGTCGTCTGTCTGTAAACTTGGGGCGCATTGGCGCGTGCATATTGCAAAATATGAACACGCGCAGACACGGAAATTACAAAAAAAAATTCTTTATATTTTTTCAATTTAAAGGAAACAAATTACATATAATGTAAGTAGTATATCCACATATGGAAACTAATCTTAATAGAGAAAATTTATTTTATTAAGTTGTTAATTTTTCTGGGTCAACTCGGTTAGCAACTGTATAGTATGAAATTAAATTACTTATAAATAAAATGCTATTACTTAAGATCATTATTATATATTCGGAATACTCAAAATTCATTGAAAGCTGTCTATAGCGAGCATTGGCGCAACCATGTAATTATGACCTGTCAAAAAATCTGGATCTCTATTGTTATTTTATGTAATGTTCTTTGCCGTGGAGGCTTAGCACTACAGTGCTCAAAAAACACACGTATTAATACAAAGCATCAATCAACGCCCCATTGGAATCTCCTAGTAATTCCGCGGGTGCCAATGAAGAAATGTGTGCAAGACATAACTTCCACCTTGGTTTAATGTGAGGCCTACCTACTAGCCCCTGCTGATCTTTGGGTTACAGCACCCAGTGATGAATTCGTAACTCTACGCCAAATGAATGAACCATGCTACCTGCGTAAGTTTAGGTATTAACCAGAGCCACTAAGAGTCCAACCTCAACTGGTCAGCACAGCCGAAATTGCGGGCCATGTGCATGGCAGCAGATACTACCATGCACACTTCTTACACAAGTGTCGGTGTGGCACCGTGATTGTAATCGCCTTTTACGACAAACATGCCAAAATTCACTTGTTCCAAATAGGACAAAAAACGTAATAACCAGTTGTGTCAATTAAAACGGAACCATCACAATACTAAAATAATGGTGCTGACAGCTTATAGCGTATTAGAAAGGTACAATATAAGACTTGGTCCAGTTTTTAAAACCATTTTTCTGTGTTGTAGCTCTACGAATGAAAAGGAAGTTGTACATCACCTCATGTGTCAGTACCTATCATTGGATAGGAACAGATTCTTAATTAGTTTGACAAATATGTCATTCTTTTAAATTAGCGGCATAGCCAGGTTTTGACACTTATTGGGTTGGTTCCTCTTTACTATAAGAAATTCGCACCTTATCAAAAAGACGCTGTTTACACGCCATATTCTTTAAAACTTTATTAAGGGTCTTCTGGTGTGTCTTTGGACAGTGTTATTACAACAAGGTATTATTCCCGTTCAAGTGAGCTTTGGTGGATAAGGCTGTCATCTTTTTGATATTATATACTCAGGTTAGGTTAGGTTAGGCTATACCGATGATCTCTAGGGGATTCTCTTAGGCTTATTGGTTCATTATGTTGCCGTATATATGGAAAACTTAGTGTTATTATATATTTATGACCTTGTCACTTCCAATTTGATAAACAGTGTTGCAGCGAGTTTCTTTTTATTTAAGTTTTAAGTTTATATTCCATGTAAATAACTCCAACTTCTTTTTAAATAGATTTTTACCATCTTTATATTCTTACAATTTAATATATGAAAAAATATTTATTTCAATTTTAACCTATTTAAAATATTTAGTTAAGTATTCTAGTTAGAATTTTTTAAAACAATGAACAAAATTTATTTTTTTGACTTCAAGAAATTGTGATATATCTTTATTTACATTTGGACAGATAGGTACATCAAGAATATGTTCATTATTCATTTATCATAAGTATTTAAAAATAAAATTTCAGGAAAATATATAGTAGCATTACTTGTCATGTTTAACTGTGGACAGAAATTATTTTTAATACTCGTATGTATGATAAAACCAAATCGAAACGCCCTACTTTCAGTTGAAAATAAAACAGCGAACTTTTGTTGAGGGAATTTTCATTATTATGTCATAACTTATCTTTAAAGTTCAGCATCAGTAAGTAATTCTTAGAATGAATAAATTCAGATTGCGTTAAATGTAAAACTTAATAATTAAGTTAAATATATCGTAGAGGAGAAACCACCTACGTACGTGCCATACTATAGGAATTCATCACAAATGCATTTAAGTTTATTTTAAATTTGAGATTTTTTTTTTATACTTTTTCTATTGTTTGTGTTTGTTAAAATATTTTTATTTATTTACAAAAAAAAAAAAAAATATTTGCATTTGCATTGACATTTAAATAAGAAGCCGACATAAATTGTTTAATTTTATTTCCATTTTTAATTTTATGATATGATTTTTTTCTATGATATGTGAAATATTTCGCGGATTTAACATTAAGAGAAATCTTTTTATTTTCGTTTACTTTTTTAATTTATTAATTTATATTTAAACAACGCATGACAAATAAGAGGTCAGTACACTAATAATTTATTTTAATTGTTAAATTTGGTACAATTGACATAAAGTCTATGTCATTTAATAAAAAGTTGTCACATTTAATTCAATTTTATTTAAATTGCAACAAAAAATTTATAGTTAAAAAAGGATTTAAAAAGAAAAAACTACAATTTTATATTAGGAGAAGTGTATCATTATTTTGGTGAAAAGTTTTTTATTCAAATTGTTGGGAAGTCAAAGAAATTTTGAAAATAATATTCAAAATTGCAAATGTAAACTCTCAAATTTATTTGAACTTAAATTATTAAATTAAAATTTTATTTTACTTAATATTTTTATTTGAAAAGTTTTTTTACAGCAAAAAGTTTGATCGCTGAGCATGCAATTCACGTACGCATACGAGAAAAATTTAGTTAAAAAAACATAGAGTAAAATCAAACAAATTTAATGCAAATATTTTAAATTCAATTTCTAGTAACAATCATTGAATATATAAAAGTTTTAATCAAAAATGTTATTGTTAGATATTTTTGAATGAAAGTTTTTTCGACTGCATTTCATGTGCAAAACATAAAAATATCTATGAACATATAAAACGTGAAGGTGCGGCGGTCTAAGATGGAAAAAAACAACAACTGGGAATATCTTAGTTCTATAAGATATTTTTTATTTTATTACTCAGCAAATAAAACATTATTCACCTAATAAAAATAAGTTTAAATACTAATAAAAAAAATGTTAAACTAAAAATACCTTTCTTAAGAAGTTGTAAGAAGCACTTTAGTCATATAATAATTGTGGTAGATACAACTATTTAATTGTGTTCTGCGTAACCTTAATCAGATACTATTCTTGAGACTTAAACACAATAAATTATAACAGTAAGCTTCAGTATAGAAATTTAAAAAACAGAAGATTTCAAGGACTTCAAAGAGTTATATTATTTATGTGTCCAAATCTCGAGTTATGTAGCAACTGAAGCTTCGTCACTGTTATGGCAACATAACCATTTTCATAGCTATAGACCCATACTCAAGAGTTGCATATTTTAAACATGTTTAAATTTCTTCTTATAATTAAATTAAATATATTAAATTAAATATATACAACAAAATAACAACATGATACAATATATCTATAATAAACAATATATCTACCATATACAATATATCTACAATATATAATATATCTACAATATACAATATATCTGCAATATATTTACAATATATCTACAAAATACAATATATCTGCAATATATCTACAATATATCTACAAAATACAATATATCTGCAATATATCTACAATATATCTGCAATATATCTCTACAATATACAATATATCTACAATATGCAATATATCTAGAAAATACAATATATCTACAATATGCAATATATATACAATATACAATATATCTACCATATACAATATATCTACAATATATAATACATCTACAATAGTCAATACATCTAGAATATACTTTATATCTACTACAGATATAGATTGTATCTTAAATACAATACTGTTTCAGATTGAAAGATTTTAATACATATCTTTGAATATCAAATTGAACTCAAAAAACCGGAAAAATTTGGAAACACTAGATAAGAATATGAATTCAAGATTAATATTTTGATACATTTTTAATAAAGGACGGGTTTTTGATTTATTTTACTTAAATG